GATCAGGAATGGTGGAGCTATATACGTACTTACTCCCCCACGTCTTCATGGTGTAGTGCTCAGTTACTTAAGGACAGGGACAGATTTGCCTTTTACTTGCTTGAACAAACAAAAAGCTCTGTATTCAGCCTACACAATAAACAGCGACTGTTTCCCTAAACAGCAGTAACCGGTTAGGCTCTGTAGCGTAGACGTAATGTGTTTCCTGTGAGGTACGGACTGAATTTGTATATATCACAAAACTTTGCATTAACGTTTGATTCTTAAATTGGTTGAAGAACTCCAATCTCTAGCCACACATACGCATGAGAGAAAGAAGTTATACCCCAGCGAGACAGCTGTTTGGAACTTTATTCTGCATTAAAATTCTGCCCACACAGCGTTGCTGTCTGTACCGTATGGCTCTCACAATAAACAGCGACTGTTTCCCTAAAGAGCAGTAACCGATTGGTCTCTGTAGCGGAGACGTAATGTGTTTCCTGTGAGGTACGGACTGAATTTGTATATATTACAAAACTTTGTATTCTGCCCACACAGAGTGTATTTGTCTGTACCGTATGGCTCTCACAGTAAACAGCGACTGTTTCCCTAAACAGCACTAAACGGTTGGGCTCTGTAGCGGAGACGTAATGTGTTTCCTGTGAGGTACGGACTAAATTCTTAAATGTAATTTTTTATGAAATGTGTGTTTCGAAGGGATTTTAATTCCACTTGTCTGGCGCTTATATTGACTGTATGTGACAGAAAGCATCCAGGACTAGAGTATTTGTGGAAGACGTAACATGAGACTGGGCAAAATTATATTACAAGAATTTTCAAAACTTGTACTTTACATTTTCAGGCACATTTACAAGAATGGGGACAGCCTATTAAATTCGCTCCTTCTGTTCCTCTGTAACGTACGCATGAGGCAACTCGAGAACGCCTTAACGGATTTTAATATAAGTTCATACTGGGGAGTTCTACTGATATTTTTGGAACAATTCTAATTTTGGCTAAATTGGAAAAGAAGTTTATTTTGAGGTTCTTACAGCGGTTATGACGAGCGATATGTACAGGGATGTCATGAAATTTATTGTGACATGCATTTATTGACGCTTCGGCAGAAAATACTGCTTCCAACTTCATGGTCGAAGAGTAAGCCAAGAAAGGAAGCAAGCGGCAAACTGTTACTGTTTAACAATTTTCGTGAAGGATAGAGATTCATTCCTCAGGTTATACAACTGACAACTAGCGCCTCCTTCGGAACAATTCCCATTCACTGCAGGTCGAGTTCGTAGTTGGCTGAAGAAAATGACAGTCATTAATCCGTGTAAAATTTAAAAAACTGCAAATACATTTAGACCAATTTTTTGTTAAAACTGTAGCATGAACACAAAGTACGTGATCTAAGGCAGTGGACCCCAACCTGGCGTTCCAGGACCCCTGCAGGTTCGACAGCGTGTTACTGGCTTAACGCAAGAAATACTGCTTTTTAGTTACATATACATTTATACATATACATATTATTCGGCAGTGAATAAATGAGAAACTAGTTCATTATTAGTTAATAAAAGGGGCGGACGGACAGGCGGATGCTTTAAAATAAATGAGGCTCGTGAAAAGAGGGGGNCAGGACATGCAATGAAGTAGTTCGACGTACATAGAAAAGCACCTGAAGATGACACTTTAGTGCTGAAATATGTAGTGCAAGAGAGAAGAGTAAGGTGAATAAATGTATGCACTGTAAGACGGTCAGAATAAATCATGGACTCAAGTTTATGCTTAGTTTCATGCCTATTTGGACCTATGGAATCGAAGTATGTGGATGCGCCAGTAAATCGAACATAGCCATAATGCAACGAAGGCAGTCCAAAATACTGCGGATGGTCACAAATGCACCTTGGTATGTGACTCATCAGACCCTACATAACGATCTCAATGTACCATTCATCAAAGAAGTCATCCAAGAAAAAAGCATAAAACATCATGATAAACTAGGGCACCATAGTAATACATTACTGCAGCCCCTACCGGAACAACAACGAAGAAAACTGAAAGAAACTGTGGCCAGCAGATCTACTTGATGGTTGAAGAGGATCTCTCATTGGAGGAGCCCTCATCACGATACAATAAGCACACGAGAACGGTGTTTAAATTAGCAAATTAGCTTAAAGAATGTATTTAATTCTGATTGCTAATAAATATATATAT